ACCTGTGCAGGGAGTGGGCAGTTGGGGCAGATGGAAGCAGAGGCACTTCTCTGGGAGAGCAGTATTGGAAGAAGGGTGACGGAGTTGTGGGCTTTTGCAAGAGAATTAAAGTGCATGTAGACCAAGAGGTCCAAGGTGGTGAGAAGGGAAGTTAGGACTGGGGTGGTGAGGTAAGCAGGGGGTTACACCTTACAGGTCTTGATGAAGTTGAACAAAAGCCAAGTGTTGGGCAGACAGGATGGTGGTGGGAGGGAACAGAGACCGTGGTCAGAGTCTCAGAAGACTTAGCAGGTTATAGTAGCCATGTGGTCTAGGGAGAGAGCATGGTGGCAGTGGCTGGAGATAACACAGCAGATATGAGGTGCCAAGTTAGAGGGCATCCTGCTACCCCTTCAGAAATGTGGCAGAATCCGTTTCTGACTCTCACCCAGCCTCCAGTTGCTGGGTTTTCTTTTGTTTCCTATGATGGGACACTTTCAAGCTAAATTTTCTGGAAGCCTAGAGCCTGAGACAGTGCAGCTGCCAAGGGTACCCATGGCACCAGAACCTTTGTGGTGAAATTTCCAGGATAAGTTCAGACCCAGGAATTACTTCTTGGGAAGTGGTGGAATGGTTGGCTGGGAGGTGGCTCCTTTGCTTCTTCTCCTCTGGGGAGGCTCCAGATCAGCTGGCCATGCAAGGAGAAGGAAGAGGAGACCTGGTTCCCCTCACAGTTGGTTCCATGGAGCAGCCATCTGGAAATGGGCTTTCTGTCTGGGCGTTCGGTAAATGCTGGGGAGTTCATTGGGGCAGCAAGGGGATCCAAGCTCCCCCCTTCTCAGAGGGCCTGCAACTGTCCTGTCTGAGTCCACTTGTATCTGTCTAGACTGGAGGCTGGATCCTTGCTCACTGTCTGAACCTGCTAGAGCAGATAGCACCCTGCTCATAGCTAAGCTTGGGATTCTGATCTGACAGCATGATTCCCATGAATCTCTCTGGAGATTCATTTGTTGGCTCAATGTACCTTTGCCTCCCAATCTACATCCATGTCCATGCAATTTAAAAATAAGCACATTTAAGGGCTGGAGGAGTAGCCTAGCAAGTGTGAGGCTCTGAGTTCAAGCCCTAGTACTGCCAAACAAAATAAGCACATTTATACACACTCATGCATACATGTGTATAAATTTCAAAATAATTTGTCTGCAGTTTTTTTTTTTTATTTTGTGACCTCAGCCTAATAGTAGGCAGCTACTAGTGACTAATAACACTTATTCAACTAGGGCTCACAGCAAGACATAAGGTAAGTTCTAAGTCGGCTTTCACAAACCCAGTTGCCATGTGACCCTGGCTTCTTCAGGTGCCCTGGAATTTCATCCTGGTCTTGGGGGCTTCCCCTGAGGGGAACCTAGATGGAAAAACAAGGCCTGAGGATGAAGATACAGAAGAAGCTGTTGTCTTTGCCACTGAAATGATGTCACCAGTCACATCGGAAAATTCTAACAGTCCTCCCCTCACCCTCAATCAGCCACATGCCTCCCAGGAAGGGCACCTCAGAAGCAGCCACATTAAAAGGAGCTTAAAAGCAAGGCTGGGGTGGCCAGGCCTGCCTGTTGGAAAGTTTCCATCTGGGGAGATTGGCTAAGGCCCATGTGGAATGTGGCTCCATTGGACATAATCAGTGATTCTTTGTTTTGTTTTTATTGCATGAAGAACCTTTCTAGTATATATTTCCTTCTTATGTACTGTTTGTGAAAGAATAAGGTATGGGTGGAAATATGGCTGACATTTATTTTCCAGTCTACCAGAATTTATTTTTCCTCTTTTCCTTGATGTCTTATCCAGAAATTTGATTTGATTTTAGTACTTTAAAATTAGCCACCACTTTTCAGAAATATAAACATCTCATAAATTGAGAGACGGGAGTAATTTAGTGAGGAGGCAGGGAGCCAGAAGTTTCTGTTTGCCAGTCTGTCTGCCCTGCGTGGTGCCTGGTTTCCTGGCCAGGGCAGAGATTCAAGGAAACTTGGGCAAAACCTCTCATCGTGCAAAGAGGGAGACCAAGGTCCTTGGGGAAGGGACTGCGCCCATCCTGCCTGGGTAGGTCACACCTTGGAGAGCTTGACAAATGTTAGTAATAGTTGGAGCCAGGCTTGCCTTCTCATCCTCTCTCCAGGAGGAGGATCTCTGAGTCCCAGGAGGAGCCCAGACCTGGACAGGACACAGACATCCTGTACAAAAGTGACAGGGACAATCTGGGGAGGTTCTGCCCTTGATTCCTGGAGGCTGATGGGACCCACAGTCACAAAGAAAGGTGGAAATTCACTTCTCAGATCACTGAATTCAGCTCCCTTGTCCTGAACAGTTAACTGAGGTGGGGACAGGTCTTTAACCCCCAGCTTTAGCAAAACCGGAGGGCAGGGAGGCTGGCCAGACCGACCTATGGAGTCCACTGTAGTGAAGAATTGAGGGTGTAATGAGGATGGCTCATAGGGGTTGAGAATCCTTTTAGGTTGAGGGGTGGGAGGTCAGCTAGGGAAGGGGAGGGATCCATCGAGTCTCTGTTCTCACACTCATGGTGAAGGTGGGCTGGCTTCCATGGGAGGGTTTTGCCCAGAGGTGGGAAGTGAGCGTTCTTGTTCTGCAAGGTCAGACCAGAACAAAGGTTCAGGGGTTGGCAGATAGGAGTAGGAAAGGACTTTATTTCCTTGCTCCCAGTGCCCCCAATGGCAGATGCAGGCCCAGAGAGGATTGGAGGTAATATGGTATAGAGGTTAAGAGCCACACAGAACCAGACTCCTGTTTCACTGCTGGCACTCATTGGGTGACTTTGGGCAAGTTCCTTAGCCTTTCAGAATCTCTATTTACTTATCCATGAAATGGGTCTAATATTAGAGACTGTATCCATAGGGCTATGATGATGAAGCACTGTAAAATAATATGTGTAAACACAAGTGACAGGTACTATTATTGATAATAACAATGACAGTAAGAATGTTTGTAAAGGTAAGATGTAGGGATATGTGTTTCAGCTCAGTAAAATGTTAGGAGCTTCCCTACACAGACTTTGCTGCATTACGAGGAAGGGCACTCTGTCGCTGGGAGCATGTAAGCAAAAGTTAGACGTGCATGTCGGCCATGATTGTATTTTTATGTTTTTATTTCCAAGGCCAACACCCGATTTTTTCTTTTTTTTTATTATCCATTTATTCACAATGCGTACATTGTTTGGGTCATTTCTCCCACCTGCCCCCCGCCCCACCCTCTCCCCTCCTCCCTGATTTTTTCTTTTAAGGGACGGTCTCCCTTTTGGTTAGTGGCACGGTGGACTTGTTCTGCAAGCTTGGGGGTTTATATAGCTTGTCGGAGAGAATGCAGCCGGTGCTGTGGCACTGGGGCATTTGGATCTCTCGTTCCTGGTCCCTGCCATGGCCAATACATTTCCTTTTGGTCCAGGGGGTTCAGGTTGAATTTCTGGCCCTTAAATCCAGGAGCCCGATGCATACCTATCCTCAGGACCACTTCTGGATGCCTGGTCACACCAGCCATAGCACTGGCCAGGACATTCTGTCATCCTTGGCATCTCCAGGTAATGAGAAACTGGTAGCCAAAGGTCAGCCTTACTTACCTGTTTCCCCCTGCCCAGAGTACATAGCAGGTGCAGGGCCAGAGAGCTCTGAACCAAGGAATATGTGCTCAGCATAAGACTTGACATTGACATTTTAATACACATGCCAGGACTTCTGCAGACCATTGAGTATCACCTGATAAAATGGTTCCTGGGAAAGCTGCAAACACATTACAATAACGCCACCATTTTTCCCTGGAGCATTTCTTGGCCTCCTGATTGGATCTGTGATGAGCAACAGAAGGCAGGCATCTTGGTTTTGATCCAAAGTGGTGTTTTCTGTTCCATCAACAAATATGAAAGGACAAAAAAAGGCCCCCCTGTTGCTGGGTTAGAGGTTCACTGGTCTTGGAGGGGGACCAGGCTGAGCTGGGGAAATGGGTGGAGTCGAATTACACAAAGTGACTGCTTTAAAAAAGGAGTTGAAATGGAGAAAATCCAATCAACTTATAAAAAATTTCCTTCATTCACTGCTTTGTGTTCACAGCTGTGCTCCCAGAGCCTGGTGTATAGCAGGTACTCAATAGATACTTGTTGAATGAGTGAACAAATTCAACAAATATTTATTTATTAAATATTGCCTGCTATTTTCCACACACTGTGGTAGGTGGACTGGTTTACTACTTTATAGAGATGACGTGGGCGCACGTGTGTATATGCATATGCAGGCACACATAGAATAACACTCATCTATTTGTATGTTTTATTGGACCCTTTGATTATTGCCTTCATTGGTGGCTAATAACACATTTGCTGGCCAAGGTCATATTTTTATGTTTTGATTTCCAAGGCCAACAACCTGATATTTTTTAAGGGAAAATTTTGATGTAGGCAAAACATGAGATTGAAAGCAGAGCGTGCTCTCCTGGGGCGCCGTCCTGTCTGGGTTCTCCTGGGAGCCTTAGCGGGCCCCAGGAGCCCACTAGGCACTGTACGTGCAGTGCTTAGGTCTGAGATAACAGCACTCTATAGGGGAGCAGAGCCATGCCTGCCTTTGCTGTCCGCTGGTAGGAAGAGCGGAATGAACATGCATTGGAATTCAGGGTGTGTACACAGCCTGTAGTGGTAGCTTGTGTGCCTCCCCCCTTTTCTTCAAATGAAATGCTCCTGGAATTCCATGAGTGCACAGCACAGTAAATATGGGTCTGCTGTGCTTGAAATGGGGAGCCCCCCTCCCCTCGCTCAGCCTCCCGACCACCTCCCTCCCCTTCCCTGCCACAGCACTTCCTGGAATCCCAGGACTCCCAAGTATGAAACTCCAGCCCCTGGAGGAAGAGCGTGCATGTGTATGTACGGTCACACACGTTTGCATTCACAGATACGCGCCTGTCGTGTGCTATGCATTCACTCCTCCTTTCTCTCTTCCCCTCTTCCTCCTGCTCCTGTGTTCCCACAGGCGGGCCTCATCCGCACAGACAAAACTGACTACTTCATTGAGCCTCTGGAGCGAGGGCAGCAGGAGAAGGAGGCCAGTGGGAGGACACATGTGGTGTATCGCCAGGAAGCCATCCAGCAGGAATGGGCAGAGCCTCACGAGGACCTTCACAATGAAGGTAAATTGTGGGCAGGGGCCCACAACTTTGTTCACATTTTGTGATAACTTCTGGCCTTAAGCTCTCAGTGCCTGACCCCAGTGTTCTCATCTGTAAAATAGGACCAGGCCACACAGAGCTGCTGTACAGCAGAGAAGCCAAAATGGATTTAAGGGGCTCCTATAACTGGCTGGAGGCACAGCCAGCTAGAAGGACATTGATGTCCTGGACAGTGGTCCTCTGGGCTCCAGCAATTTTGGGAGGCTCGGAATTGCTTCTGAAGGTCGTTTCTGAGCTGAGGCAGAAGGTGGAGTGGCTGTAGTTGGTTCTTCTCCCTGACAATTAACTCCACGCTGTGGGACCCACCGTGCGGAGGTTCTTCAGGCCATTGTGAATAGCTGCTTGGTATGGGGTCAGCTTTGTGTCCAGCAGGCCATCTTTAAATCCTGCTTCTGCCTCTGTCTCTGTCTGTTCTGTGACCCCCAGGCAAGTTCCTTAACATCTCTGAGCCTCATTTTCCTAAACAGTGATGAGGGGATGAGCAGAGGCTACCTGCTAAGGCTACTGTGTCTTGGTGAAGCTTATATAAATTCCCAGGCAAGTTCCTTAACATCTCTGAGCCTCATTTTCCTAAACAGTGATGAGGGGATGAGCAGAGGCTACCTGCTAAGGCTACTGTGTCTTGGTGAAGCTTATATAAATTCCCAGGCAAGTTCCTTAACATCTCTGAGCCTCATTTTCCTAAACAGTGATGAGGGGATGAGCAGAGGCTACCTGCTAAGGCTACTGTGTCTTGGTGAAGCTTATATAAATTCCCAGGCAAGTTCCTTAACATCTCTGAGCCTCATTTTCCTAAACAGTGATGAGGGGATGAGCAGAGGCTACCTGCTAAGGCTACTGTGTCTTGGTGAAGCTTATATAAATTCCCAGCAAGAAGCAAGACATTGAGCAGGTGCTTGAGAACCATCTCATGGTGGTAACTGACTACTGGCATGTTAGAGCGGGAGCTCCCTGAAGACAGGGAGCCCTGCATCTGGTGGCACTTAGGATTATGGATGAACAAATGAGACAGGGCAAGTGACAGGTACTGGCCCTGGGCCAGCTTCATAGTTGGACTTAGCTTTGTCATGAGGCCCCTTTGGCAAAGAGACAATGACGATGGCTAGGTGGAATCTGGTTCTGAGTGGCCACACCCTCTACCAGAGCCCTGAAGGGCTGGGCCTTGCCTGAAAGAATGTCTGGAAGCTGGTTGTCCCCCACACCCCACACAGTGCCTTCCTTGGAGCCCCAGTAGCTCCTCAAGTGTCACTCACAGAGGAGTCAAGAAGGGGGCTGCTGGCCTGGGGTGGAAGTGCGGGGATGAGCAGAGAGCCACACCAAGCACTGGTGTGGCTTCAGGAGCTGGCTGGTGGTGGGCACTGCTCCCTCCACATGGCTGGGAAGAGCGGTGTCTTACTTGGGCTTCATTGTGTTTGAGGCCCATTCTGCATCAAAAAGACCATCCACCTCTCTTTTGGGGAGAGGTCTTGAGGAAGTCTGGCTCCCTGGCCTTGAGCCACACCTATGGCAGCTGGGAAGCTGAGTGCTCAGGGTTGGAGTCCGGTCCAGGAAACGCGAATGATCTTCTGTGCCTCAGGCTGTCTACCTGAACCTCCTGTGTGCTAGCCGGTGGGTCCCAGCCAGCCATCTATGGTCCCTTCTTGAAAAGTCACCAGGCAATAGAAGATTTTTTTGATCCAGCTGTGGGCAGAGCATAGACACAGCAAACCCACACCCCACACACTCTCTCACACACTCATCCTTGGGCCTCAAGGAAGAGTTAAGCAATTCTGTTCTCAAGGGCTTGCTGACAAGTACAGTCCATGCAAGTGGAGTCCAGAGGTTGGACTCCCTTGGTTGGGCCTCCTGATATGAGCTGCCTCGTGCCAGGCCCTCCCCTCAGGGACTCTCCTGAGCCCTGCCTCAGCCTCAAGCTGTCCTCTGAACACCCCCAGTACCTAAAGCTGCCCTCTCCTTCAACCCAGGCCTTCTCTTGGTAAGGTAACCTTCTTCCCACCCCCACATGCCTCTTGAGGAGGGAACTGGATTTGAGCAGCGCTCATGCTCCTGTGGCCAGAGCTCTGGCACTCAGCCTGGGACTGGACTGCAGCCCCTTAGGGCAGCCCCTCCCTCCCAGGCAAAGGGCTACTGCTTTTTTTTTTTTTTTAAATCAAGATAAAGTTCACCATTTTAACCATTTTAAAGTTCACAGTTTGGTGGGTTTTTGTTATACTCCCAATGTTATTCAACCATGACTGCTATCCAATTCCAAAACATTTCCACCCCCTCCCCCATAAAGCTCTCCATACCCACTAGCAGTCACTTCCGTTTCTTCCTCCCCACCTCCCTGGCAACTGTTCATCAGCTTCCTATCACTACTGATTTCCCAAACAGGGTTTTTCCTGTGAATGGAATCACATAGCACGAGGCCTTTTGTGCCTGGTTTCTTTTTCTCAGAATGTTTTCAGGGTTCATCACATTATGACGTGCTTTATACTTCACTCATTTTTACAACAAAGTACTAGTCCACTGTGTGAGTTTACCACCTTTTTGATTTTGGTAGTACTGAGGTTTGAACTTGGGGCCTTGCATTCGCTAGGCAGTTTTACCACTTGCGCCATGGCCCCAACCCTGTTTGCGTTAGTTAGTCTTCGGGTGTAGTCTCATGTTTTTAACCAAGGACTGGCCTCACACCTTGATCCTCCTATCTATGCCTTCTGCACACCTGGGATGACAGGCATGCATCACCACACCCAGCTTTTATTAATTGCGATGGGGGAGAGGGTCTCTCTAACGTTTTACCTTAATGGCCTCAAACCACAATTCTCCCCATCTCCTTCTGAGTAGCTGGGATTACAGATATGAGCACTGCACCTGGCCTGAATACATCACCTTCTATCTGTCCATTATCTGTCCATGCACATTTGGGTTGTTCCAACTTTTGGGCTATTGGGATAATAATGCTGTTAATATTCATGTGCAAGTTCAATGTGAACATATGCTTTTCCATTCTGGGCATGGATCTAGAAGTGGAATGCATGGGTTATAGGGTGACTTGAGGTTCAAAGTTTTGGGGGACTGCCAACTGTTTTTTCAACCATTTTCCATTCACTTTGGACTCCTTGGGTGAGCTCCTCTAAGCCTCCAGGGCTGGCTACCCCTGCTGTGCCTGGGAGGGCTACCTGCTCCTGGCCTGAAGGATGAGGGACATATAGAAGAGAATGTGACTGGGCATCCCCAGCACACATGGCTACTGTCAGTTCTCCTTCCCCTCAGTTCCCCTTGTTTGCTGAGTGGGAAATCTGAGTGAATCCTGATAGTCATGGAGGAGGGGGAGATCCAGATGTAGTCTGGACTCTTGTTATTTATTAACTTGCTTTGTGACCTAGGGTGAGTCAGGTAACCTCTCTGAATCTCCCTTTGGCAGTCCTGGCAGGGAGGGCTCCAGGGGTCAAGTTTAGCCTTCTACTTGCAACTCTTCAACTTCTGGGTGCTGTTCACATGTTGGGGTGACTTATTCTACCCACTTCATGCAGAGAGCCTGAACCTCTTTCCCAGCCCTCCCTCTTCCACCAGTGATTCATTTGAGCTGCTGAACTCACTGTAGGACTCAGATGCCTGACCTGCCAGGTGCTCTCACACTGACAATGTTTTGGATTTCAGAGCATTTCTGATTGTGGATGTTTGAATTGGATGCTCAACTGGCAAAATCTATGCAAATAATCCAAAATCTGAAAAACTCTGGTCCCAAGTGTTGTTATCATCTGATTTTTTTATCTGTCACCTCAACTAGGCTGTGGACCCAAGGGCAGGCAGCCACCTGTGTCACGCACCCTGTGGTCATCCATCTAAGTGTGGGCCCCTCCTGCATCCACTTACTGGGACACGTAGTAGCATTCTTACATCCTCAGCCCGGGTGCATTCTTGAATAGCAGTAAATAAACAAGTGTTCTCAGAAATCAATGCCACAAGTAATGCAGCCTCCCTCCCTTCCCATCCTGCTTCCAGCCTTTGGCCTGGGTGACCTTCCCAACCTGCTGGACCTGGTGGGGGAACAGCTTGTTGACACAGAGCGGAAGCGGCGACACGCCAAGCCTGGCAGCTACAGTATCGAGGTGCTGCTGGCGGTGGACGACTCGGTGGTTCGCTTCCATGGCAAGGAGCATGTGCAGAACTACGTCCTCACCCTCATGAACATCGTGAGTGTCCCTGTGCTCTGGGGTGGGGCGGCCACCAGGCCTGGTGCTTCCCAGGGAGGATGTGAGGGAGTCACCACTTGCTTTTGTTCAGCATGGGAGCCCTCAGCAGTGAGTGCCATGGTATCACAGGCCCAGGCTGGCCTGTCGTCTGTGGGTTCTGGGCTTGGTCACATTCCAAGCCTGCCTTGGGCATTGCCTGGGACATCATTTGCCTTAGGGTTGAGGGACTTTCTTGAGATTTGTCCCCTGGAAACACACTCAGTCTGGGGAGCTGTCCATCTGCAGGGGAGGTCCCAGAATCCTGCCAGGGGCTGTGAGTGCTTTTCAGGGACCAGGCAGGCAAGGACAAGGACCAAGGGCAGATGTTGAGACTCTGGTAGAAGCCAGACCCTGTCCAAAGTGTGCAGCTGCTGCTCAGTGTGGCCGGTGGCCGTCCTCCACAGATGTAGATTCTTGTCACAAACAGACCAATGTTTCAAGAAAAGTCAAAAATGCAGCTTTTTTTTCTTAAACTGTTATGGACAATTCAAATCCAGATATCTAAGTGAAAATTTCCAGTTTTTAAATGCTGAAATAAAGGACTGTGCCTGCATTTGGCCTGGGGATCCAGGGATACCTTCTGAGCTAAGGGGCAGAGACAAGGGAGAGCAAGAAGGAGAAAAGGACGAGAGGGGAGGTGTGGACCCTACTGTAGTTGTTCCTCTCCATCTCAGCCTCTTGTATAGCTGGAACCACAGGCGGGCACCACCACACCAACTATTGGTTGAGATGAGATCTTATGAACTTTTTGCCCAGGCTGGCCTGGAACTGTGATCCTCCTGATCTCAGTCTCCAAAGTATTAGGATTATAAGCTTGAGCCATCAGCACCTGGCTACAAATAGGTTTTAGGCCAGTCAAATGGGTTCTTAGGAGGACAAAAGAAGATGAAGAGGTTTGTGGTGACATTTGCTGAAGCAGGATGGAGGGGTCTGTCTTCCGTATTGGTGGAAGTCCCCCGAAAGGATTTCTGGTGGCCTCATTTCCTAGAAATTACTGCTGTTAGTCAGCACGGATGTTTGAGAAGGCTCTTTTCTGAATCTGTTGAATTTTAAATGTCTTCACTTAAAAATAATCTTCCTATCAACTCTGTGGCCCATGCAGTCCAGGAACAGCCCCTCAAGCAACCTCAGGAGATGCCTGTGTGTGTCCTGGAAGGCCTTCAACCCTGTTTGGGTTTCTGACATTGCTGCTTGCGGTGAGACCTTATATGTGTGGGTTTTGGGCCACTGTGCCCTTGGCAAGGCCCCCACAAGCCAGTTAGCTGGCCAGGTCTAGTTCCCCTAAAGGGTCAACCCAAGTGGCAGGGATGGAGAAGCTGCTCTCTAGAACTAGAAGTGAAGCTGCCTGGGAGATGTAGGGCTGATGGGGAGGGTAGACAGGAAACTAGTCCCCACCGAGATCTGGGGGTGTCCTTTGGAGATGGGAAGAGGTTTTTTTGTTGTGGTGGGTTTTTTTTTGTTGTTTGTTTGTTTGCTTGCTTTTGTTTTTCAAACAGGGTCTCCCTGTGTAGCCCAAGCAGGCCTTAAACTTGTGATCCTCCTGTCTCAGCCTCCCAAATACGGGAATTACAGGTGTGCACCATGATGCCTAGCTAGGAAATGGTCTTTTGATGGGTCATATAAAGAGATAATTCCTTCCCACAGGCCGAAGTGTAGTTTTGAGTTAGCCACACTGAAGTGTGATAAGTTCAGAGGGTCTGGTAAACCTCTCAGATCTAGGGCTGTGAGAGTCCACCTGGGAGGAGGTGTATGGGGCAGGGTAAAAAGTTCTTTCTCAGTCCTCCAAGGTTCAAGGTGTGAGGGCCAGCCATCCACCTTTCCTCCTTCCTAGGGACCTTCCCCATGTCCCCAAAACTTCACTGCTGGAGAAAGGTAAGCCATGACCCATTCCAGCTCTCTTGGTCCAATTACCATATTCTGACTTTTGACCCTTTACTTCTAACCTACAACTTACAGCCTTTGCTAGGGAGCAATGTCAGCCTCCCCAAAGACCATGCCATGAGGGCCTGCCTTGGAGACTGCTGTTTGAATAGTCTGGGTTCTGCCTTCCTTCTCCTTACTACCTACCAGAGGCCTGGGGAGGAGGAGAGCTATAGTCTTCTCAGAGCTTCTGGAAGGCTGTAGGCTGGCTGGCTTGCCCATTGCTGACTTGCCCTGTGAATGGGGAGGCCCATGGGCCAGAGGTGTTCGTGAAGGCCTAACTCCTCTGTGGAGAGGCTCACAGCACTGGGATCAGCTGCAACTTTAGGGACTGTCACCTTGCATGCCTGTCACTGCCCTTGAGGTAAGTGGCTGACATGGGGCTTTGGCTTCCCAGGCACAGAAGCCAGCCAGCCAGATGGTGAGCGGATGGGGCAGCAGACAGCCTTGCCTGCTCAGGATACCCACAGATCATCCTGCCAGTGTGGAGACTTTCATTTGCTTGACGCACAGGTTTCCCTGGGGACTTTCTGGAACCAGTGAAAAGGGTGTCCCTTTGCTCTTGTCCTGAAGTGCCCGCCTGCCTGTGACCATGTCTGATCCTGATTTCCAGGGCCAGGGCTGGCCTGTCAGGTCCAGAGAGGAGATCTTGTTGCCAGGATGGATGGTCCCATTGTGCTAATGCAGGGAGAAGAGACAGAAGCCATTAGGAAAATATTCACTATTGTGTGATGAGGCCCGTGGCACTGCAGTGGTAGGGGCAGCTGTGAGAGCATCAGTGCTATCCTGTCTTCACACTAACTTGGGAATGTGCTAAAAATATTCAGAGCTCCAAATGACAACCATAGACCTCCTCCTCATCTTTCCCTCATCTGTCCATAGGCCATGGAAGCACTTGTCTTTATCTGTGCCTAGTTTACCCTTTTTACTGAGTCACTTTCCTTAAGATATATATATCTTAAGATTTCTTCGAAATTCAGAACTAGAGAGCCGTTTGAGCCCTTTGAAGCATAAGGGGAAGTTGTTTTCAGCATTTAGTGAGTGCCTCTGTTATCACAGACAGAATCCATTTCTAGAAACTTTGGTCTGGCTGCAGAAACATGCCTCAGTTCCCTGAAACAATCAAGGACTCACTGAGGATGCTGAAGGGCTTAGGGAAGGTGACCAATCTGCAGACAGGACATGAGTGGAAGGCTTTGTAGATGAGGTTAGAGGCAGGGAAGGCAGCCTTAGGGAAGAGGGAAATGGGAGGAGGTGAGGAGCAGGCAGACAAGTGTGGTGGTAGCAGGAGGCAGTGTGGCACGCTGTGGAGAGTCAGAAGGAGGATGCAGACCCCGTTGTGCAGGGGCAGGTGCCAGAGGCTGCAGAGAGCTCTTGGTGTCTAGCTGTGGCAGGAAAATCCATGAGACAGCGTAGACTCTGACATGAAGAGGCAGGAGGAATGGTTCAAGATGGTGGCAACCCCAAGTTGATGGGGGAGGAGAGGATGGGCCAGAGCCTAGCTGAGGCTGTGATGGGTGAGTGGAAAGGCCCAGAAGAGAGGCATTTGCCTTATGTCCACTGTAGAGCTGAGCACTTTTCAGATGGCTCATTGAATCCTCACCCTGCAGCCTCATGTGCTTATATCCCTGTTACCTCCGAGACTTGGAGGAGCTAAGTGACTTTCTCAGAATCTACACAGCTCCTAAGTAGCAGAGCCAGGCCTCAAACACAGATCTGTCTGTCTCAGAATTTATACTTCCTCCCCCTCCACTATTGCTGTTTCAGAGTGTGAAGGCAAGCAGCTCTTTAGAGGGGAGAAGGAAGACCTCAGTTTCCAGCTGGGAGGTTAGAAGAACTCTGGAAGAGTGTCTGCCTGATGTGGGTCTCCCTAGGGAGTCATCTTCTGAAGCTTCCCTGCCCCCCACCCTGGCATGTTCCTGCTCTTGGCTGTAGAGGACTGCCTTGGATATAGGGATGTGGGGATCCAACTGGGACCTGGAGCTGGAGCAGAGGTTGCAGGGAGAGGAGACAAAGGCCCTTTCATGATTCTTCATCTAGCCAGTCTGCTGCCAGAAGCTTCCAGTCTCTTCTTTCTCTGGAACCCCTCTTGCCAGCCCACGTGTTTGGATGATAGGCCCCTGGCTACTTGTCTGCCCACCTTGCCTTAACTGGCTGACAATACAAAGGTTGCCTGGAAGACATTAGCTGGTGTCTCTGCCAACTTTGTGTTGTCCCAGCTCCATCTGCTTCAGAGCTCTTTCTCATTACAGGCCACTTGGATGCCTGCTTGGAAGAGCCTGGTACCTCTTCTAGACCCAGGATGTTATGGTACAGATGGCTGTCAAACCAGGGCCTTGCTGGCTTCAGCCTGAGAGGTTAGCGTTCTGTTGGCTCATGACCTGAGTTAAATATTCATCCTAAAGGTTGGTTTGGAGCCCCCAAAACTGCTTTTGTAGCCAGTGTCTCACGCCTGTAATCCTAGCTACTCAGGGGGCAAAGATCAGAAGGATTGCAGTTCAAAGGCAGTCTGGACAAATAGTTCGTGAGACCCTATCTCAAAAATACAAAAAAGGGCTGGGGGAGTGGCTCAAGTTGTAGAGCCTAGCAAGCATGTGGCCCTGAGTTCAACCCTTAGGACCACCATGCTCTGCCACACCTTTGCCTTTCCACAGTAGATGGTCCTGCAAAACAGCTCTCGACAATGGAAGGATGGGAAGGATTCAAGTCCTCTTCCTCCCACTCCCTTCTTTTATCTCTCCCCCGAAACTTTCCCCTGCTTTTGCTAAGGACAAAACCTCATTCACTTTAATATATATAAATTTTTTTGTGGTGCTGGGGGTTGAACCCAGGATCTGATCACTTGACCACTGAACTACACCCTCCAGCCCAAAGCAGTGATTGTCCATTGATGACATTGGTGATGTCTGGAGGTATATATGGTGGAACAGTCCCCTGACTGAGGGTTACAATGCCAGATTGTATGTGGTGCAGGTGAGAAGCCCTGCTCTCAGCTGTTAGCTTCAGGTGCTGCACATAGGTATTTACATATTCCAAGCAAG